CCCAGGCCGGGTTTGAATCTGCCAGCTAGGTGCATGTGACTGGCACCATAACCACTGTGCTGTGGGTACTGAGCCAAGTCACCTTTTTCATATATCTACTTCTCTATGATCACATCTAGTCCAAGCTGCTATAATCATTCGCCTGGACTGTCGCAGTATCTTTCCACGGAGCAATCAGAAGTATTTTGTTATTTTATTTATTTTTTGAGATAGTTTGTCACTTTGTCACCCCTGGTAGAGTGCTATGAAGTCATAGCTCACAGCAACCTCAGACTCCTGGGCTCAAGAGATTTTCTTGCCTTAGCCTCCCAAGTAGCTGGGACTATAGACACCCCACAACACCTGGCTATTTTTAGAGGAAGTCTCGCTCTGGCTCAGGCTGGTCTTGAACCTGTAAGTTCAGGCAGTCCACCCTCCTTGGCCTCCCAAGTGCTGGGATTATAGGCGGAAGTCTTTTAAAAACAAAAATCAGATCTTGTCTTTCCTAAAATAAAACTGCTTCTGTGGCACACAGAAAGCACTTCATATGTTTTTATGATGGTTAGCGACTTCTCACCTCTCTTGCCGCTCACTTGGCTTATACCTTGCTTTGCTCGTGGTGGCCTATCTATTGTTTGCTTGTACCAAGTCCCTTCTTCACCCCCTGGGCAGTCCCACAGGCTGTTCTTTTCTCCTTGAATGCTCTTCCTTGGTTCTTTGAATGTTGAGACATTCTCATGTTTTAATTCTCATTTCAGAGAAGACTTTTTTGATCACCATATCTACAAGATCTTGCATCTGCTTTATTTTTTTGTTGTTACAGTTTTTTGGCTGGGGCTGGGTTTGAACCCGCCACCTCTGGCATATGGGGCGGGCGCCCTACCCCTTTGAGCCACAGGCGCTGCCTGCACCTGCTTTCTTCATTGCAGGAGTGCTGAGGGCTCATTTGATTAGTAAGCAACAAAGAGTAAAGGACTCCATTTCCAATATGATGTTTAACGTTTGCAGATCACTCTTTTGTTTGTAGGACAGTGAAATAATCTTTGGAAAGATTATTCAAATACAGATTTCCTAGCCAGGAGTCTGCATGGTAATTGTGCATTTTGGAGGCAGGAAATTGGATCTATAATAAGAGTGGTGTGGGCAGTGAAGAGAGCTAGTTGTACCAATTGCAAAAGCCCATAATGGTGGGCTTGTTATCAAGTAACAGTGCAGGCACAGCACAGCTTTTGTGAATACCAGGATCTGAAAGCAGGACAGGGAGGGCTGGGGCACAGACAAGGGAGTGACCAGGCACTTTAGGGAAGGGCTTTCTAAGAACTGAGTGAAGATTTTAGGCTTCTTGGGTTTAAGCAAGTGCAGCAAGCAGCACTATTTCACATCCTGGGGGTGTGGGCTGGGTGTCATTTTTCTTTACTTTGATATTTACATTTGCTACTTTAAACTTCCCTATAGATTTTAGAGTTTTTGTTCATTTGCAAAAAACCACTAACATACCTGATTGGAAAGTTTAATTATTCTGATTTTCTGGTAAAGGAAAGTGCAACAGGAAATATAATCTGAGTAAGGGGAATAGCCTGACTTACTGCCTTTCCCCCCCAGGCTCCCCCCGCAACATATTCTGCCCATTATCTTCATTGTAGAGAAGCTGGAATGTCTTTCTTAAGTAATAAGGCAGGAAAGACTCCATTTTCCACATGTTTGCTTAGAACCCCCAAATCTCTAGTATTAGGGCAGTGAGGCTTTTTTTTTTTTTTTT